ATTGTTTGATGTTATATGGTTATGATATCTCAAGGAAACTATTAACTTCAAAATAAATGTATTCTGTTCTTGTCTTTTGTTCCAATAATTCCATGATTTTACTTTTGACTAAAAAATGTTGTCTATTTTTTCTCTAATTTGAAGGTTACACACAGGAAAAGTTTGCAGACCTGGCTTCCGACAGTGTGCTGAAGATTGCTGTCAGAAACAAAGTAACTTATCTGAAAGAATGGTTAAAAAATTAAAGGTCCATCACCAACTCCTTGCTGCATCAAGATCTCCTGCAAACAGTTGAAGCTTGATAAAGATGAAGAAATTCAGCTTCTTGAGGAGAAGGTGCAGCAGCCGCAAGATATATGTTTTTAACAAAATTTGTTAGACTAATGAAGATGGTGGCTCAGCTGCACCTCAGTACCGCAGAAGAAGAGATGAATATCAACAGCAGAATGAACAACTCCTGAACTACACAGGATTTTGCTTGATTTCTTGAAGGACAAAAAAATATACCACAGTAGCCTCGCAAATCCTGTGGACTTTTGTTACAATCCTCATTAATTCTTGTATCATGATGCTAAATAAAAACAATTCCACTGATGTCCATATAAAGGACAGAATGAACTCCGCTATAAAGAGTGTAAATAAGGAGTTGCAAACAAACCTTGCAAAACACAAGGTATGATACAATTCGTTGTAAGTCACAACACAAATCTGAAGTCTGTGTGAGTTAATATCACCAACAGAAATAACATATACCTTAAGAGGAAAGAACAATAACAATGCCAGAGTAGGTTCAAACTTAAGTCCTGGCATAAGGCACCCAAGCGTTGGAATAGTTTAGCTGATATCATTTGAGTCCTAAATATCCATGAATTTCTCTTTTCTTGTTGAGGTTTTTATTCACACATGACTTTATTTCAAATTGTAAATGGTTTTATTTCTATCGTAGACAGTTTTACTTATACTGTAAATAGTTTTATATCTATTCTCTGATTAATAATCATATCTATCTATTATTTCATCTATTTCTTTATCAACTCGCCCATTTATTTTATATGTCCTTGTGGCATGCTTGTGAAGTAGCTTGTGCAGTCTTTGAAAGCCAAAGCTAAGCCAAATACCTGAGTGCATGTTCTACGTTAAATAAAGTATGGTATTGAATTGCACTGAGCTGCATTTGTATTGCTGACTTAGTGTAATTATCCACCTTTTTTTGTGTATCATGCATTAGTAAAAGATTAATCAATAAAACCTTAAGTTTGAAAGGTCAACGTTGTCTTTATATTACAACAATTTGTCAACCAAGCAATGGATAAAGTACTATGTCCAGAATTTCTTGAAACTGACCCAAATAATGGCAAAGCATAGAAAGAATGGAGTCATTTGAAGAGAACATTTGATAACTCAAAATATTTGCCAATTTCATGCCTCTTAAGATCCTCCTTTCCATTTGTAGTGGGATTTTATTGTCTAATTTTGATTCCCTTTCATGATTAATGGTGACATATGGTGACTTAATGCTCTGAAATCTTGCAGAAGCCATAAGTAAAATTAGTCAAGTACATGACTTGTGTCAGTGGAACACTGATTTCAGTGACCATAAAGAGTAAGGAAGGCTATGGTTCACTTCAAAAAATGTGACCAATGAACTGGAAAGACATATTGCAACACTCAGGCTCTCAAATGAGCAACTAAACCCATCATCATCATCATCAACATCCTTCCATCCTCTTCAAAACCAAGGTCAGATGCCAACATACAGAAAAAAAAAGGGCTCCACAACAAAGCATTTATTCTTGACCCAAAACATAAAAAGTACCAAATAATAATATGTGAATAAGTCTTCACCATCCTTTACATTGAGTAATGGGTATGCTTTTGGACTTGACCCCGTTCCCTTAGGATGAATAGTGTGTTCAGTGCAGTTGTAAATACTATCATTTGAACTAATGAAGTCATGTTACTTTGTTTATGTTTAATAATATCCCTTAACCCATTGTTAGTCACGTATCTTATCAAAATACTTACGAGGCAACATGTTAACATAAAGACAAGTTGTCGGTTTGACTACGCAAGTCGGTTTGATTCAGTATTTTAGAATGACGCGTCAGCTCAAGCTAGTGAAACTTAGCTTTCATATTTCGACTTCTAAATACTCGGTTAAGTAAACTACTCTTTAGTTCTCGGTGGCAGGGTCATGCACCTTAGTGGCGAGTCTTCCTAGCCTAGTGGCGAGGTCGCTACATACCATTTCCCTAATCAATCATCATCGTCCAACAAATTATTCTTTACTAGGTTTGGTCAAACTTACCTAATGAAGTTCCACAGTACGTACAGACATTTCTAACTTCCTCTTATTCCGTCTAGCCAAGTGAGTTGAAGGAAATCACGAGACCTCTGTGCAAAAGAAGCTGTAGATGTCACTCTAGACAAAACGATGCAAAGGCGTAAGTGTTATGGTTTCAAGCCAGCCAATACATGCTTCCTTACGATCATCAAAACCCTTCATATATATATAGTACTCCTTCGGCAAAAAGGATAAGCCTTCCATGATTAATCAGATGGCGTAAATGTAGATGTTTATCCCTGTTTTTTTCTGTCAACTGTTCCGCCATTCTGTAACACAAGCTAAAGCGAGTAAGATTTGCGCATGCGCGAAGGTGGCGCGGGAAGTTCGTTTGCATTCTAGTGCTTCGACGCGTTGTTCCTGTTGCTGCTTTTCCTTTAAAGAGCAACTTCCAAAAACCTTTGTACCGCCTGAATATTTTCCAAAATTAATTTCCTCCCTAAAAACACAGAAATAGGCTTTTTCATAAAATTTCGCTGAATTTTAAGCCTTGCGCGCTTGATCCCGCGTTGTTGACCGCATTCCTGCGACGTGATATTTCGTTATTCATCTCTACCTCATAACACTTGAACGATAAACTATCTCAGAATGCGTGACGCCAACCACTAAGATCGTGGATTTTCTAAGAATTCGTACACTAAGACTCCTCATAGTTTCATTGATAAACCACCAGAAATTCAATGCAATGGATTTCCATCAGTGGTCATCAGTTCTCTCTTAGGAGTTTCAAGCATTAGCAGAAAGGAATGTGCCAATACTTGCAGAGGTTTCTTATTGTTCTTCTTATTGCTAAGTACACCTTGTAGCTCAAGTGTAACACGGTCTGTTCCAGCCGCGCACGGTGGGAGACCTGAATTCCATGGTTCTGCTCCAGGATTTAGTCCTGATCTTGCATAATTTTTCTCAACATGGCTTAAATTTGTGTTAACGTTCATTAAGCTCCTTTCTGTTAATCATATTTTTGTTTTGCTTAAGACTGGACACAGAGTTAAAAAAATTCTTCCTGTGATTTTAAGCAGCTTCAACGTCCTTTCTTTTCGAGCGAACCTTTCGAGACCTTTTTCAGGATTTTGCAGCAATAATTCAACTTCTTTGAGAAAACGGTTCGTACATCACAAAAACCCGCATTTCTTCTCTTGAGGGAAAACATTTGTTCGTAATTGACACCTTCGATGTCGAGGTGTGAACTTAACTGTTCATTCTTTTCAGCATGATCAGATTCATCGGTCTCTTACCAGTTTATTTGTCAATCCGTTGAAATGATACGACCAGGAAACGGGCAAATAGACGACCAACAGCGTAATCCTCGGTCAGAAATTGTAACGAACGCATCGGTAGATTATCAGCATACTTTACCAGTGGTTTCTGAAAGATATCTAGAAGCAGTAATTTACAATGTTAAAAAACAAAGTAAATGAGTAGTGAACGGAGAGAGGACAACAAGAACGTACCTTACTGTTGTTAATGGATACATGCTCAAAACGAAAACTCGGGAATAAATCAGCATAGAGACATTTTGGAAAAATTAACTAATTAAGCGCGAAAACTACTTAAATAGGCTAAAACCGCGTGGAGACTGGAACTATAGTTGTAATTGAAACCGCTGGAAGACGTTGCAAGAGTTTCTTAACGTCTTTTGACGATCGATGGTTAATTTTCAGGACCTTTGACGGTTGACGTTACTTTCTCACGCAGTTTTAATATTTTCTTAGATTCGATGGTAACTTTAGTATCCTGCAAAAGTTTAGAATTCTCTTTCATTGGATTGTTGCGTTAGAATCTCGCGCACTTTAAGAATCAACTGTAATTGGATTGTGACGTTAGTATCTTGCGCAAGTTCAGAATTCTCTTTCATTGGATTGTTACGTTAGTATCTCGCGCACTTTCAGAATTCTCCTTCATTGGATTATGTTAGCATTTTGCGCAAGTTTAGAATTCTCTCTCATTGGATTGTTACGTTAGCATCCCGCGCACTTTTAGAATTCTCTTTCATTGGATTGTTACCTTACCATCCTGCGCACGTTTAGAATTCTCTTTCATTGGATTGTTACGTTAGCATCCTGCGCAAGTTTAGAATTCTCTTACATCGGATTGTTACGTTAGTATCAAGAGCACTTTTAGAATTCTCTTTCATCGGATTATTGCGTTACTAATCTTGCGCAAGTTAACAGTTATCTTTCATCGGATTGTTACGCTAGTATCTTACGTAAGTTTAGAATTCTCTTTCATTGGATTGTTACGTTGGTATCTTGCGCACTTCGTTCTTCCGAGCGGGACTGGATTTTGCCATGGAGGACCTTTCGACATTAGAATGAAGGGCAATCGGGAAATCGGCAACGTGTCACACATTCAAGAGTCTAATGGCAACTAACAGAGCATGTAATAAATCAAGCTAAAGATCGTTATATCGGCCGTGGTGGCACCAACAATAAAAGAAAATAAATTCATAGGTGCTAGTTTCCTGGCAACAAGGTAAAAATAATTTTAACTTTCTTTAGGAAGGACCGAACTCAACGAAAAGGACTCTGAGGGAAGAAAATAAATGGAAAAATTCAAGGTTTATCGGATACCACAATGTGGAACACTGCAAGAGCCATGTCGAATTTTTCCCCAATTGGGTTTCGGAAGAAAACACAAATGAACAGAGACATTTTTAATTCGCAAAGCCTTTATATACATATTATACACATTCTAACCTGTTAATTAAACAATGTAATTTAAAATTTTCTTTATCCATTATAATTTCCTGGACGTTCCATTTACATCAACTTTAACATACCCATGACCCATATTTAAGCAGAGTGTGAAGGGTGAAGTGCGTGATAATTTACCTCCCTACGATGTGACTTTCTAAACATAAACAAAACAAAAAACAAAAGGTCAGACATTAAAAGAAGTTCTAACGCTAATGGTGGGTGCCAATATGAAAGCTGCCCTATTTGTTACAGACGCTCCTACACCTCTAGAGACAAAATAACTTCGCTATCTTCCGACAAGAAAGATAAAAATACTATGAACTTCTTTTCCTTTCATAATCTTTTTGGATACTGATTTTATGTTAGTCTTACATTAAAATAAACAAAAAATTAATTTTACTGAATCTAACATAACAAAGAGTAAGTCACTTTTTGGCCGAGATTATCCTCTTGCTTGCACTGCTTTTTCTTCTAATACGTCTCGACCACACACCACACCGTTAAGTTTTCTTTTTCTATTCGAATACCATAAATATAATTTCAATTCCAACTTTATAATTCTTATTTTTTTGGTATTTAAAGCTTTCTGGTGACATGTGACGCATTTTACGCAGTCCTAGCGTGGATTCTACTGGAGCGTAACGAAAGTGTTTCATAAAAGTTTCCTTCCCGTAATCAGCCAGATATAAATTCAGATAAATCCAATAATTATGAATAACGCTTAAAAGCAGATCTGATGATACAAGATCTCCTGTTGGGTTCCAGTCCATCATTCTTCATTTAGCGTTTCGCCACATCAAGTTCTTTTACTTCTCCTTATCTTTTGCAGTTCTTCATTAAGTCTTGTTATCTCGTCTCCCAGGGTGTCAAGATTTTCCTGGAGAAAGAGAGTTTGGAAACGAATGCATCAGTTGGATCGACGTTGGTATCTGAGCAACCGTGCACGTAACCCTCCCCTAAGCTAACGCTAGCCTACCTTGTTATCAAATGAATAAAGAGGGCAAGTTTCTATAGAAACTGTAGTGCTGCGTCGGTGGTAGAGTGTAACAAGATAATTTGGTACTGAATTCTCTTTTATTGGATCGTTACGTTACTATCTTGCGCACTTTTAGAATTTTCTTTCATAGGATTGTTACGTCAGTCTTTCGCGCACTTCAAGAATTCTCTTTCATTGGATTGTTGTGTAAGTATCTTGCGCAAGTTTAGAATTCTCTGTCATCGGATTGTTAGGTCAGTATCTTGCGTACTTTTAGAATTCTCTTTCATTGGATTGTTATGTTAGTATCTTGCTCACGTTTAGAATTCTCTTTAATCGGGTTGTTACGTCAGCATCTCGAAACTCTCGAAACGTCTGTTTTGAAACTCTTTACGGTGGCTAATTTACGTTATCAACTCAGTTGATAAACCAGATTATCAACCTTTTTATCAGTTGACCATTGTTGGGTCGGGGAGGGGGTGTAGGTTCATAGTTGCTTTGACTAACATTGATCCCATCAGTTATTGTTAGATGTATGCATGATGCGCGGTAATCATATTCTAGGTTCTCAAGAAGCGTTGTTCTTGTCAACCTCGACAAAGCTTGCGAGCAGACGTCAAGGCAAGGCCTCGTGTAAACACTTTTGTACTGAAGTAGAACTGAAGACGCAAAATTTCGCATATTTTTTGCGTCAAAGGGCACCACTCTTTGAAGAAATTTTGGTCACACCAGACCGAATGTTGGTTATGCCTCACGGCAGTATGCAAATTGGTCTACAAAACTCGCACCGTCCTGTCAACCAAACAGAGGAAACGCTAAAACAGCTCGGGACAAATATAAGGACTGCAAGCAGTACATTAGCGCGAGACGATCGAATAATTCTTATAGATTGTTTCATTTGACTATACTTTACTTACTTTTAGAGTAATGTTTTTGAGAATTGTGTCCTCTAGTACTGCTTGAAGTTTCTTGTTGATTTCGAGAGACAGTTCTAGAGTCATGTCTGGGTCGACGGCTTTGGACGAGTAAACAGAGGCCATGATTCCGCCGTGACGAGACACTTGGGCCTAAAGACAAAAGAGCAAGAAAATAAATAATCTACCACCGCGAAAAGGAGGTTCAGCTGAACTTGTAAATCTCAGGAATGTCAAAACAAGAAATAAACATCGTTAAACTGGAAAGAGTGAAACCCTAACCAAGCATAATTGTTGTTGCACTATAGGAGAACTTCGCTTAAAAAAATGATCAACTTCGAAAAAAATAATTACAGTTTAAGAGCTTATTTAATTATTTTCACATTTTTATGTGAGGATTAGTGATGATTGAGAGGAGGGAAAAGAACGATGTTTAATGATTTCGTATCTTTATCTGATGAACTACGTTTAGTTAAGTTTAGTCTGGTTAAGTTTACCTCAGTTCAAGTGGAGAGTTTTTAAGTTAGTCGTCAACCGAGTTGGTAACTGTGACAGGGTTCTATAAAGCTTAATATCTTGGACGGGACAAACCTCGAAGTTATTCAATAGCGCAGCGCAATCTACGGCCAAGAATCACTGAAATAAACTTCAATTTCACACAGTTTCAAACAAGATAGTCCTAGCTTTGTTATGAGAGAAGGGACAGAGGCACCTGTGAGTTATTCCGCGCGAGGAATGGGGAGGAGGGGCGCTTACAGGATCCGTCCTTGTCATCCTTTCGTAAGAGAGACAGTAGGAGAGAGAAAACATGTGTTTAGTGTGATGTATCAGTCGTGCGTCATAAACACTTCATTTAAACACAGTAGCAAAACCCTCCGCTAGGCAGAAAGCTCCTTTTTCAGCTGTCTTGACAGTACCCTGTTTGTTTTTTGATACCAGCAAGTGTAAAATTCACTACACCTTAACTGCGAATGGTAGCAGTGAAGGAATCGCCAAGCGTTACGGAAAGAGAACATCCTTAGCTATTTAAGTTTCCAAATATTTTCTCATTCATTGCAAGACTAAGAAGATATCAATTGGGCGCGCATATCTCCCAATCAATAAATATAACACACTTTTATTTTTGTTTTACAGTTACCTTACATATGTCCTTATTGACAGGTTGGTAAAAAAAAATCAAATATGAACACGTTATTCTGTGGTTGCTTTTTCGAGATAACTGTTCATATTGTAATATAGCTGGATTAGGCAGGATTGTTTAGTCAATGATACTTTGCTTTTTAATACTCGATCTTTCTGAATATCTCTTTATGTTTAGCCTTGTTCACTCGATCATTTCAGGCTGTCCAATAAACCATCATTGAAATTTCACAGTTATTGATAAGTCTGAACATGTTTATGAAGTTTTTCAAATCGCCATCTAAAGGAATTCCGGATTTTATTGTTTTTTTTTTTCTTATGTAATTGGTCTTAAAATTCTGTTCCTCGCACTGAAGACTGAAATTGGACAAATCACCACTTGTTCAATCAGGTTTTCCTTCGCTTGGGATAATTTATATTTATTCACTTCGAATTTCTTTTTTTGCTACTTGGTTTATTCATAATCGGTTGGTCGTTGGGCTCATTTTTGTTTCACTTTTACGCCACTCAATAGGTAAGAACTTAATTTCAGTAGTTATTTGAAAAGACGAAAACTCCGTATGAATTGTGGAGAGCACTTGCTGCACCACATCAAACACCTAACCCAAGACAAGCACCATTAAAAGAAATGTTCAACAAATCGATAGACAGACTGTAACCTGAAGCAAAGTGACTCACCTTATGCAGATCTGACGTAGGTGGCGCAAGTGTTCCGGCTTGCTCTCGGAGCACATAGTAGTGAATAATTCTGCAGATAAACAGACCAATCGACAGAAATAAACCAGTCGATGAAAAACAAGAAACATCCACTCAGTAGCAACATCTACTCAGACTAAATAAACGGTGTAACTTTAGTTCGCTAGTTTACACTTCAGACGAGACAGAGTTTTGAGTATGGACATGCTGCCATCTTGAGACGACCAAACATACTTGGATTGCTGATAGCTATGGGGCTATGGGGCTAGGCGCGCAAGAAGTCCTCTCGAAACGGTTCAGTTTAAAAAGAATTACGTTTCTGGGATGTTGTAGTCACTCACTTGCTTTTCTTTTGAATCTCTTCAACCAGGGCTGCCACATGTCCTTCCATGAACTCTAGCTTCTCGTTCTTTTTAGCGTGGATCTTCTGCAGTCTACAGATACGTTCCACAAGTACTGCTTTGTTGGGCTCAAGCTCTGAGTTTGTGCGGAGCTCCTTCTGCCCTAAAATCTGTACATTGTCACCATTGGACACATCCAGTGAAGCCTAAGAATAAATCCACACTAGCTTGTTAGCATAAAACAAATAGGCAGAAACTGGAAGAAAACAATGAAAACAAACGCAAAGACAAAACACGAGCCTTACCCGGTCTACCGATGACTGGGATCCATTGACTACAACCCACTAACACGGTAAAACAAATCAAGTGTCAGTTCATATATCACTTCTAGAATTCCATTTCTATTGTTTGTGTCATTTATTTAGCGCAAAAAGGTTTCAAAAACATTCTATCACTAACTTCGTTGCAGAGTCAGTACTTATGAGGCGGTTTTGAAGTCAAATTTAACTTCTAATGTGATGGACTGGTATCTCATCCACTGAGGGGGAGGGGAAAGGGGCAAGGAGGCAAGGCTAGTTTTTGATTTATGGTGACAAATGCAGGTAAACTTCGGCAGTTCAGAGCCAGCAGACTATGAGACGTTATCACAACAAAACTCACCCCTCCATCGGTGGTACAGGTGCCCGAGGTAGGAGATGAAAGTGATGTGGGAGTTGTACAGGTGCTGCCTATTTTATCCAGAGAATTGGTGGATGAAGATTTTGATTCCTCACTCAGATTTTCCTTGGATTCCAGATTATTCGATTCTAGCTTCTCTACTTGTCTAAAAAAAAAAGGATTAGTAAAGCACAAAATAAAATTTTCGAAAAAAAGATTGTTTTGATCACGTTGCGGTCCTTAAGTACTTAGCAGCAACAACATTTTTTTCCTTGAAAAAATCTAAGAAACGTGGATGTGGGCACGTGGAAAAACGTGTTCTCGCTTGACCCTGCCTCGGATGATGATTATTCCACCTATTAGGTGGAATAACCATCATCCGAGGCAGGGTGAAACATTAATGACTGCCAATTACAACAGTCCTTTTCATGACTACTCTCACCCAGAGACTAAGACTACCCTCTCAACAAACGCTTTTCATTAGATGTCGCTCAGTTCCCTAATGATCTCAGAAGCCAATCACGGGCGGAAAAGTAAGTAAATTAAATGGATTCTCTTTCATCTCCAGCAACAAAAAAAACCTTGTCTGAATTAAGCTGATCATTGTTGAAATGTGCTTCATACTCACTTTCTTGATTGTTGCAACTGTCTAGTTAGATCCTGCAAGATTAGGAAACAAGCTTATACACTATACATAACAGAACCCCTGTTTCTTCATTTACTCCATTAACAGCAGGTTAACATTTGCTTAAATTTTACTTATGATTGGCGGATTACTTTAAGCATTCAAATGAAAGTTACTTTATCTCGCATGAAACTTACTACTGCTAGCCCTCTTTAACAGTATTTCATACAATTAAAACAATCATTATTGCTTTTATTTTTTACGCTGTCAAACATCCTATCAAGCAGATATAATTTCAAACTTTTTTTTGTCAAGAATTGAACAAACCTCCCTGCCTTGTTCCTCCCTTTGAACTATGAATAAAGAACAATGCTGAAGGCTTTGAACTGACACTAACCTTTATAAGGGCTGTGTTTTTTCTCTTCACCACCTGAAGTTCATCTTTTGATTCCTCTAAGGAGGCAGCAAGGTCTGACACTGAAGTGAGACAAAACAAGTGTCTAGAAAATTTGCATGGTCACTCTTTTTCCCTGGCCACAGAAGGAAAGCAAAGCTGGGTGCGGACAAGGAGAGAGATGAAAGAAACCACTTCTCGTTCCTCTTGTTTTGAAAGTGTCAGTGTACTCGTCAATAATGAATTAGACTTAAAGTTTTGCAATAAATTTCCGTTCAAAGAAACAAAGATGGCGATTAAAGTTAAACTAATATAATCTGCAACAAAATCAATCTGTTTTTCTCAAGTGCACATAAACAGCTAAAAACCAGTGATTTGAAGTAAGCCAAGAGTGTATACAGATTTGTGAGTTATTTGAATTAAAATGCATGAGGAAGCACAAGAAGGAAATAGTGGTACTTTGAAGTAACCCAAGAAAAACCAAATCAATACTAATATATAAGAGGCCATGTGTATTAAATGGGAGAATTGGAATCTAAACCAACCATTAAACACTTGGATTAATCTCTTTTTTTAGTTCATACTTATTCAAGCAAGTATTAATACTTTACTCATCTTTTTTTATTAGTCAAACTGTTGTTTGTTTTACACAAATTAAATGTCTCCTTATGACTTGCTCTTACCAGCTTTTGATTTCTCTTCCAAACGACCTTTCAGAGATCCAATTTCACTTTCATATTCTAAGGTCTTCTCCTTCAATTCTTCTCTCTAAATAGACAAAAGAAAGATGGGTATACAATTCCTGACAAAAAAAGATAGTTTAATATTTAATAATTTAATACTTATATAGTGCAATATTCAATAGCACAATTTACAATTCTATCTGCCAGTAATTGATGAGAAAATTTTTCACAAAATGAAAATATCTGAGCACATAAATTTCAAGACCTACCAGTGCCTTTCTTGTCTTATCCACTTCCTCAAACTGTTCTTCCAATTTCGATTTGTCAAGAAGAATGGCATCAAGCTAAATGCACGGTTAAAAAAACGTTATTACTCTCACTCAGCAAAAAAACAAAGGCAAAGATCAGACTTAAAAAATATTGAAGATTCTAGCTTTAGACTGCTTTGGATTAACAAACTAAAATATCAATTTAAAGTTAAGTATAACCAAAACCCACCACATCTCCCATGAAAAAACAACATCTAATAACTCATGAAACCCATATTAACTTCTTGAAATAAATCAGAAGGGAGAACCACTCAAAGAATTTAGATAAGACTGATTCTAAGAATTCCTGAGGGTGACCCCTATCATTGAATAATTGAAATCACACTCTTCTGGCCAGTGGTCCACATTCAATATGTTTGAACTACAGCTAAAACAAATAGGGACCAGAACATCAAGTCAAGGCTTACTAATTAAACTATTTGCATAAACTGAATAAAAAACGTCTCTTTGATGGCTTGACCTGTCCTGTTTGGTCAGAGTTAGTAACTCTGTTTACTCATCTTCAGCTTTTTTACAATTTTATAACTCAATGACAAATAAATACTTCACTTTGGTTAACAATGTACATGACATTGAGCACTGTACCAGTATCACAGAGGCCATGGGTTCAAATCTTGTACAGGCCTGATTTTTTTTTTGGGTGTTATTTTCACTACTGCTTAAGTTGTGTTCCTTACTGATCACCCTTCTATTCATTTCTTACTCTGCAGTTCACATAATATTCAAAGTCAACGTACATGACATTTAAATTATAAATTAATGTAAAAAATTCAGAGTTCTGAGCCAAAACTCTGACCCTCATCAGAAGTACTGATCACTTACATCTGATGAAGGCACATTTGGTAAGTTGTCACTTTGTAAGAATCATTATGGTAGTTTTAAAAAAAAGGGTTTTATAATATTTTTCTAAGGAAGACTTATATTGCAAGACTTGATTCCATGTTGGAAACCAAGTTTCTTCATTTTGCATCCAAACATAATGATTGTGGGCCATTTGAAGTTCAAACTTTAGAAAACTAATTTGTATCAGTTTATAACTAGGACACATGCACTTTAACATGGGTGATAATTAAGGAAGCTGGCTGCTTTTTGGACCAAAGACTACATGGCAGAAAATACAAAACGAAGACTAAGAAGCAAACAACAATTGTTCATTTGGTTTTCAGTGAACCCTTTCTGCACAAAGAGACAGCCTCAGAGAGAGTGAAACACCTGACTGGCCACAGCAATCATCATAATTTAACAAGATTGCCACCAGCTACAGAACCACAAAAATCATAGTGGCAATAGAAGCACCAGCAATGAGAACAACAGAATTGACAAGAAGATCAAAAGTGTCTGATGAATACCTTAGATAAGGTGCCACTGATTGTAGATTGAAGCTCAGCGTTTTTAGCAGTCATTTTCTCTGAGAATGCTAATAGTTCTGATTCTTTGGTATGACAAGCTAAAATGTCGGCTTCTAAGTCAGCAATTGTCTTCTTCTGTTCACTCTCCACAGATGTTAATTGCTTCACCATCTCTACTTCACTGTTTAGAAAATAATACGTATAAATGTAAAAATTAGTGCACAACTTTATGTATCAATGGTTATTTAACAAATTGTGGGGAAGCTGTAACAGTCTCAGCTTTCAACCATCACATTTCAGCTAAGAATCAATTCAATTCACTGAATTGTGGTTAAATTCATTACTTGGTTTACTCTACATTTTTGGATGCTTTGCTGTAATGTTGTTGCAAGGAATGCAACATTTTTGTAAAATAAAAATTTCATTCAGAACTAGAGATAAGAGAGAGCCAGAACAATTAACCTTAATTTAACCCTTTCGCTCTAAAGATCTCATTAGTAATTATCCTCACTGATTGCCATACAATTCTTGTGATGTTGTTTCAGGGAATTTGGTGGTGGATCAACTGGTAATCCCCTAATTGATATTTCTCTTTATTCTCAATACTCAACTGCATGATATTGTAGGGAGAAATTCTCTCTTGGTCATTCATGAGAGTTAAAGGGTTAAAAGGCCAGGAGCAAAGTAGAGTATAGAGGTTTGGGTTCAAATTTATTACTTCAAACTTAACTTACTAACAATATTCACATTAGCACTAACCTCTCATACTTTGCCTTGTACAGTTGACACTCTTCAAGCTCTTTCTTAAGATTCTGCTGCTCCTTTATATTCATTAGGGCACTCTTTTCATGTTCTGCCACCTTAAGTGCATACTGTGTGATTTTTTCCTCTAACTCACTTATCTGCAGGAAAACATCATTTCCAATAGAGTGTTTATTTCTCATTTATTTCTCTGAAGAAATGTTTTTTTGATAAGATTGTTTAGAGAAACTAAACTTAATTTTACATTTAGTAAATTTGTAATTTTGGGAAGAATATTCATGGCTCTTAGGAAGAAGCATGTGTGAATTGTTTAATGAAATATCTATGCTTCATCTGGAGGTAACAGTCTTGTTCACTCATGGTACTTTTGCAAAGTTAATGCTGTTTGCCATCAAGTCTCTTAGAGCTTAAAAAATGAACCAAAGGAGTGTACTCCACTCCTAACTCAAGATACCTTTGAAACTCTGTGCCGCTACCCACTTGCTTTACTTTTCCTGTGTGAAATGCCTCTCTTTTTCATTCATTTTCATTCATTTTATAAATTTCTTATCCTTGCTACATTTCCACTCTTTTACATGGAACATTTCACCACTACAGCCAAAGTCTTGGCTAATTTTGCTATTTTGTCTTCTAGCTATATTCAAGACTGCTTTATGCCATGTCTTTACTTTTGTATTAACCACATTTTCATCCACATTTTTAAACATAATTTTGCCACTATTATCCTTACTAGTCAAAGGTTTACTAGTTGGCAATACAAGGCAGCCTCATATGGCTATCTCAAACTTCTCTTCAGACAAATGGGAAAAACTTGAACATGAACACACTATTCAATTCCACAAATTTTGTGTTCTCTGTTGGATTATTTTATAAAATCAAACTTTGACAATAGCTGATTGGAACTGTACCTTTTCTTTGATGACCTTTGCTTCTTCTTTACTTTTCTTGCACTGCTCTTTCCATGTCTCTAATTCCTGGACTTTCATTTTGTGAACCTTCAGTATCAGAATATGGTAGAGTAAAAAGTGCTGTTTAGATACTTAGACCTAAACAAATAATGTTGTTGGACATTGAGGTATTGCATATTATTGGTACAAAATAATGGAGCATATCCAATTATAAAATAATTATTTTTTTCATACCTCATCCTGGTCTGCAATTTCTTGCTCATGCCTTTTGAGTTCAACTTCTTTTGCTTTGAGTTTGCTGTCCAAAGAATTTGATCTCATTTCTTCTGATTCCTTGAGATAAACAATAACACATGTTGCTGTCACCTATGACAAATCTATTGGTGTTTGGGATCTGGTTCTCACTTCTAGTTGCTGTACATTTCCTGACAAACAAGTTGAGGGAATTTGGTGTTGTATCAAAAAAAAAAAACCCATTTGCTGAAAAGCTTATCAATTCTCACAACTGTCTACTAGATAATGTACTATACTGTAGGGAGAAGTTAAATAATGCTAAATAATATGAACAAGTTTAACAGGTCAATATTTTTACATATGACCAATAAGAACATGAACAACAGGCCATGCATTTACTGATTTAAGAGGCCAATGTTAAATATCCACTAATTTTTCTGGGAATCGGTTGCTCTCAGAACATTTGGTGGTTCTTTGTTTCATCTCCTATATTACTGCAGCTAACAGAACTTTTTTTTTACATTTGTAACACACAAGTTATTAGGGAAATCTCACCTGATACTGTTTTATCATAGCCTGACAGTCAGCCCTGATCTGAAGACCTTCTTCTCTGGATTCTTTGAGTTTCTGTGTTACTTGTGCAAGTTTGGCTTTTGTTTCCTAATAAACAGCAAAAACACACTAAATATAAGGATATATGTTTCTCTATTAACACTACAGTAGTGTCCAAAAAACACTTTCAACCAGCCTTTTGCAAAATGTTCTTAGCACTCCTTCAAACCATGTGGACAGAGTACACAACACTCAATAAAGGGGGAGGCAGAAAAATGAAAACTCCATCAGTTATGAAATGCTATGTGAGAGAACAAGCATTTGATGTCACAAACGTGGATGATTTCTACATGTACATAACAATGGATACTGGGAGATGCAATGACCCAATAGTTATTGGGTTGGACTCCAGATCGAAAGGTCACCATCAAAGCCTGGATTGGCATAATTGTGTTGCTACTCCTACATATAACTACGGCTGTGGGAGTGTTAATGGGTACTTGTGAATCAATTTTCAGCAGAACCTCAGAGATATCAAAAAAGAGTTGATAAACGAGCAAAACAGCCAGCTAGTCTGACATATTTAGCCAGCTTCCATCACCTCAGTGTACCATAAGTGCTTATTAAAATTTACTTACTTATCTAAATACTTATCAAACTTGTCAAAATGCTGGAGAGTAATTTGAACTGGAATAACAATACTCCCCCAAGATATCTCTTGATATTGCAGAAACTGGATGAACTCTAGCATCCATGCACAATAAAAAGGAATAAGACTGGTTTATTTACCTTATGTGTCTCTAATTCTGTTTTAAGTTTGTTCTGTGCCCACTTGACTTTCACTGCTTGTGAATTCACTTCCTCTGTAAGCTTGTCTGATTCCCTCAAAATAGCATTTAGTTCCTTTCCCTGTAAAGGAAAAGGAGTTGTATATGGAAGACTTAGATGCATCAGTATTGTAACTGACATCTTTTAGGTTGGAAAGGGGTGCGAGGAAACTGATCTTGAGAAAAAACCATCTGTCTAACACATTCCAACTTTTAAGGTCCGCTTGTCCTAGAGCATGGTACAAGATCAGCCAGAAAACTATACTAGAGAGTCAAAAATAAATCTTACCTAAATTTGGAACCATAGAAGACCATCAAAGACTGTAAGTTAACTTAGAGTTCTGATGGAAAACTCTTCCTTCTGGCCGAGCTACACACTTAGAAGAACTACACTCTTAGAAGAGCTACACACTTAGAAGAACCCAAGCAATAATCTTTGGAAAGTAACATCATGCCAACCTTTGTATTTTCAGAAATTTTACTTGCCAGCAGTTCATAGCAGGAACTCAAAAAAAGGTCCAGTATATTATCATTGACATCATGTGATGCATAATGCAAACTAAACAGCAGGCATAGCATTACAACTACAACAATCGACAGACTTAGAGCACTAACTGCTTACCCTGTCATCATATGCCGTCTGTAACTTAGCATGATCTGTCTGCATTGTCTTCAGTTTCTGGCGGAACTTCTCTATTTCCTTTGTAAAGAATTGGGATAGAACTGTTAGATGAGCAATCCAGGAAAAGGTATGCAAATTTTGCAAGGTCAGGGGGTACATGGCAACAAAGGAACCTAAACAAACATGTACATAATCTTTGGGAAGTAACATCATGCCAACCTTTGTATTTTCAGAAACTTTTCTTGCCAGTAGTTCATTCTCTCTAGCCAGTTTCTTCTTTTCTTCCTCTCCTTGAATTAATTTAGTTCCCATGTTATCTTTATCCTTGAGTACATCCTCATACATCTTTGTCACCTAAAACATGGTATAAGATAGTAGTAAGGCATCCTGCTATGAATTAAAGTTTGAAATTGAAAGTTCAGTGACTTGCAAAATTTTCTGAAATCAGGGGTGGTTTCCCAGTCCCAAGATTTCTTTAGTCATTTTCTTTTATCTCATTTATCTTTGTTTCTCTTTAAATGAAAGTTTGGATACACTGTATTCAGTTGAATAAGCCCCGCCTTCAAACGAGTAAGTGACCATGTTAGTTCTCTGCATTCAAGTGATAGTTTGTTTAAGAAAAATCCAAAAGTTTTTGAGCAGTCACTTTTCTTCTCAAACTTCTTGGAAGATCTTTTTAGGAAAAGTAAGATCATGGGAACTCCAGCAGAAACTGTGGACATATATTCAGTTGTGCATCCCTCCTTAAGCCATTTGTATCTACCCATCATCACAGAAGACAGGGTTCATTTTTGAGCTGATTATCAACACTAGTTCATTCTCATTGCTCATAACAAAGTAGCAATGTAGACTAAACCCACATAAATAAAACTGAAAAGGCTTTATTACGTTATTTCTTAATGATTTATAACTAATATTTCTAAATTTTGGGACCATTATGCGATGTCAATTTCACAATAAACCTTGTGTATGGAGAAAAAAATAATTGGTAGATTTCACATTTGTTCAAACAAAAACTAAGTAAATGCCAGCCTTTCACCAACATTACCCAAATTCATTTCTGATAAAACAGTTGTGAAAAAGCACTGATCTCTATCCAAAATCACTTTTTGAACATTGAAATAACCTTTTGCCATATATTTGATTCTAATAGGTTGCAATGTTTGCCCTGTGGCAATCCCAGAAATCTTTGCACAAACACAAGAATCTGATTACTGGCGACTCATTCATTACAACATTTATTGTAATACTGATATATATTTATCTTGATTATGGTCTATTCTTGCAGTATAGTGCTCAATGCATTCACAGAGCATGGTATATCTGAAGGTTGAATGAATCAATAAGACTGAACTTTTCTGTGACTCTGAGTTTCATGCTTATGCAATCATCAGACAGATAATGATCTGTCTTATATATATATATATATATATATATATATATATATATATATTGAATACAGAGAACTAACATAGTCATTACTTTTTTCAACTAACCTGATCAACTCTAAGAGCCATTTCTTTTTGCAAAGCTGCAATAGCTCTCTTTGCAGCCTGATCATGAGCATGGAGTTTCTCTTTTGAAGCATCAAACTCTTCAGTCTTTTCTTGAAGTTTTTGTTCCAATTCCTGATTAGCCTTTCTAAGTGTTTCACTTTCCTCATTTCCACTAACTTGTAACCTGGATACTTCTGCATTTAGATTACTCTGTTCTTTCTCCAGTTGATCATTCTTATCCTTAACTCTAAATGGTTGAACAAAGAAACACCAAAATCATTACTTGACAGCTACTCTTACCTACAATCTGCAATTCTGATTAAACCGAAATGTTTCTGATACAGAAGACAATTCTTTATCTTCTACACTTTCCAAACAGATCAATTCCTTGCCAGTTATTTTTTATGATTACAACTATTTCAATTAAAATTGTTAGAGCAAAGCATCACAGTTCATGAGAAAAAAAACTGCCACTTACAATTAGATTAAACTGAATATCATTCAAAGTGCAGCAATAACAATTTCAGCTGTTCACCACTGCATGAAGATCTATCACTTCATGAGGAATCAAGAATTGTTTGATTTTTCAGAAACTACTCGGGATGAAAATAATAGAATGGGATCAAATTTAGCCTTTGGGGTAAAAGAACATACTAATAACATTATCTACTACAAAATTCAGCAACAATCAACCTCTAGCTATTACAATTTATGAGATCTTGTCATTTTTCTTGGAAATAATGACAAAGACAAAACACATCTAAAAAAATTATATTTCCATATATTACAACTGGCATCATGGCCTTATTCTTTATTAAAAATCACAATTAGATCAAGCAAAGTGTTTGTTCTTTATAAAAAACTTAAGATATTATGTAGTATTTAAAAGAAAATTACCAAAATGAACTCAAAATTGTTGAATAGGCTACAAAACAAATTCTTCCAGCTTCATAATTTGCTTTCAATTAGTATTACTGGTTGAAAGAAGTGAGCATGTATTGATGTGATGTTTTGATCTTGAGACTGGTGAAGCAAGATATAGCAGGTCTTTGTCATTACATAATCAAGTAACACAATGTACAGCAGGTGCATGGCAAACACAAACAAAATACTGTTTTATGCTTTGTAATTTGATTCGTGATCATTTGTAAGCAAAATCATGTTCTGGATCAAACAATGTGATCAACTCTCAATTTTGGACCAAGATTCTTTGAAGCAAGCAGGCCAATGTGTTTGACGATATTACGACTTCTGTCTGAGCTAAAAAAGTTGGAGACATCTTCACTTCCTTACAAACCCAATCAGCAAGAAATCAGACCAAGAAATGAATTAAGAGGAATTTTAAAAGCAAAGAACATAGATTTAATTATGTTTTGCGTAGCTTGTTGTTTTCAATTAAATAAAGGGGATGAAACAATATCGCCCTAAGGCAAGGAGACATTAACATTAGAAGCATGTCTACAAACAGAGAAAAAACACAACCCTACTATGGAAGTGTGGCCCCACGTATTGCTAACGTGACATTTTCAGTCTACAAATTTTATAACATGAACCTACCTTTTAAGCTCGTCCTTTGAGGATATTAACTCCTCAAGAACTGCGTCTAAATTTTTCCTCAAGTCTTCGTTTATCCTGCTCAAGTCTTCACCACTTGAGTCCTCTTTTGCATGATAATCTTTCAGTTTTTCACACAAACTCTTCTCACGTTCCAAAGACAATCTGTAATCCGTCTGCAATTTAGAAAGTTCGCCTTTGGGGTGCTCATATTCTGCTAAAATAAAGTTTACCTCTTGATCTCCTCCGCGTGTAATTCCATTTAAAGGAGACAACGAGTTGTGAGCCTTGACATTATGGCTTTCATCCCGATTATCGCTTGTATCGCCATTCAAATTTGTATCGTCTTCACATCCATTACCATTAACAAGCACTTCCTCCTCGCTGCATTTTGAATCCAATTCCTTTTCGTCAAGATCGATCGTGATGTTAGAATTTCCATCAATCTCCTCTAGTGTGGAAGACATCGGAGTAAAACCCTCAATTCTTCAGACAAGAGTTGACCCAAACAACAACCGCAGAATATCATTTCGTGAGGACGAAAGTTCCATCACTATCCACAAGCGCCATTTTATTTTCTTCACAGCGCCATACCATTCTTTCTTCAGCTGTAGAGTCTTTGATTAAGGTACTCAGATTAACCTTAAAAGCAAGGTTTCCGGTTCAAAGTGTACCCTTGTTCAAATGTCACTTGCTATTCGAACCGTTTAAAACTCAGTGAACAGAATATACTCACTTGTACATGGATTAGTACACAGGACTTGAGCCGGTAGAACTATCTGAAGTAGTAAGAGGATAATAAACCCTTTATATGGACTAAATCTAATAAAGAAAAATCTTCAAATAGTTATTTACTTGAGGTACGATCAAACTGGTCGGTTCTGCTGAAGGTAACGTTCAAAAGAAAGAAAATCCCCTGATATTTTGATTCCTCCAGCCTACAAAATGGCGACGGTATGCTTACGTCAACATTACCACGTGACAATGGTCAGAGCGCGCGGACAAACACACGTTTCGCGCGCGACCTCGAATGTTTCCTTAACATGCGAGCGCACAATCAGCCACCAAGGAGAGATTAAAAAAAATAAATAATTTTGCAAAAAACTAAGTTTTTTAAACAATGTGAGTTAAGAAAATAATAAAAAAAAAATTCCTAAAACGCACCTTCCCAGCCACGGCTAACCTCCCCGTTTAAGAAAGAAATAAAGTAATAAAGTCAAAGTCCACTAGAATCCTTACTAGCTTGAACTTACCTTGTCATTACACCAATGTATACCGCTGGCAAAGTGAAGACGAAGGAAACAATTCATAATTTAATTTGTCATTGCAGAATTTCGTGCATTGATCAGACTCAACGCATATTTCAACTCGTGGGTGTCTAAGTTGTTCGCGCGGCAACATCCGGCTTCTGATTTGCGACACAACTTAAAAATACTAGATGACCAAAGTGAAACATATTTTATCAGAATCAACGAATTAAGGAAGAAAAAATCCTCTTCGGTA